GTAGCAGTAAGCACCTTATCAGCAGAGGCCATGTCCCTCGCAGGAGCAATCGACACCCTGGAATAGGTGAGGCTATTCTGGGATTGTCCGACAAGTGGCGTCTCGGAGACAAGACACTCTGTCAACTTCCGAAAGCCTTTTCGAGCGTGAGGGATGATTAACTGCTCGATCCAAATGAAGCCTTATGTAAAACAAGTGACATCCTCAAAGAGATCAAACCAGAAAAAGCAACCATAGCGACAGACTGCAAGAGCTTGCCCGATTCGGTCAATAGGACAGCAACTCCATCATGCTCGGAGTTCAGGACTCTTTTACTGATCAAGGAACATCTCGAAACAGGTGTATGCATAAGATGGGTTCCATCCGGTGCACAAATAGCCGGGGGCCTAACCAAGGTGATTGAAAATACAGTGTTGAGGGAAATCCTAAGGATTGGTCAGTACACCATTAGAGACGAAGCCGAGCCCCTGAGGCAACGAGCAGACACCAGAACTTGCATCAAGTGGCTTCCATCCAATGTCGCTGCAGATTCCGAGCATGGAAAAGCCAAGTCGTCCATACTCGAGGATCAGGAGCTTGATACAAAGCTATGACAGAGAGAATTTCTGCCAGGGGGCCTCAAAAGAGTGTTAACTTCGTCTTGAGGGTAAAACAAACATAGGCCATCTATGATTGTAGGGGTCGAAGATGAAGCAAGAGATCTCACTGCTGACTATGTGCCGCCCACCATGCCAATTAATCTTTTTTGTTCGCTCAAGCCATCAACATGTTTGACCAATTATAGAAATAAGATGTATGTCGAAAGCACTACCGAAGTCACATGTTGAGCTTCGATCCACCAGTCATGCATCCGTTGCATATGCTGTGGCCACCTCTCTCAAAGCACAAGGTGGGCGGGACGAGGATCGCTCGAGCCATGTTGTGGTAAAAGAAGAAGGGCTGCGGGATTTCCATTTTGGGCACCTTGGAGGTGCAACCGGATTCTTAGGCGTCTTTCAACACGGTTGAACTGCTGGGCAGTGAAGCTACCAATAATTTGTGAATATATATATATCATATATATATACAGTATACACACACATGTAGCATTTCTCGGACCAGCGCAAAAAGGATAGTCGACTAACCCAATGTTGTCTGTTCAGGTGATCTATTCTACCAATGGAACAGGAATCAAAGACCTCATTTTACAAGAGTTGGTCGTACAAAAACACTACTCCATAAGGTAAAGAAGTTGGTTTTACTCGTGCTTTGGACCTGTGGGGAATGGATCAGGAATCTATTCGACACAATTCCATCCCCCAGCCTTGGTTCGACAGTTCAGTTGGGGCCCCACCAAAAAACGTCCCATCTCAACGTCCCGATCTAGACATAGAGTCAACCACCACCAAACGAGGGGGTCACATGTGTCGTTTGAACTGTCAATCGCTTGTCTCAGAGTTCACCCCCTGCACCTGGCCCACTCGACATACTCTCGCCTATGTTTGCCATGTCCTGGTTCACCGGCGAGTAGTTCTCATCCGTCTGGGAGCGGTACATGTAGAAGTCCAACAAGGGAGCTTCGGGGCAGCCACCCGAATCTTGCCAGGCTTGGCCTGGCCAGCGAAGCTGCCCGCTGTGGCCGCGAGGTGTACATGATTTGGCCCAATAAGCTGCAGCTTTCGGCACGGATCTTCACTTGAAGTTCAGCTACCAATTCTTCCAATCGTCTTCCAAATCCCGAAACATGTCCTTCAAAGGCCCAGGGTTGAGGGATGTTGTGTTTCTGCCCGCGAGTTTGGTGCTTCGTAGGTGAGTGAAGGGACCAAACCTCTGGCTAGAGCCTCCTGGAAATTGTCAGGTCAGCCGCCGGTAAATTCTACACCAACCGCGGGGGGGGCCAAACCAGACATTTTGGTCAGATCCTCCTGTGTCGCTCCCTTGCACCGTCGCGTCACCGGAGCAGGTCGACAGGTCGAACCCAACTGCTCGGAGCGGTCTTTTCTCTTCGGCGGATGGAACCCCCCCCTGCAGCAGCGGAAAAAGACGCACCTGCCGTGCCCGAGGATGAGAGCCCGACCTGGTGCACTGACGAAGACGCGAAGGTGGTCGCAAGTCGAACCGCAAATCGACAGGGTAACTCGGCGATTCCGTCAGGTTCCGGGGTCTGTGCCCCAGTATACCCCGCAAAAACCCAAGTGAAAAATAAAGCATCTCCACACCGTTGGAGTGGATGTGTGAGTTCAGACCGTTGGAGGATCTGGTCGGTCGTCTGCAGTCATTGTTTTGGTGCGGGTTTGGCAGGGGCTGTCATCCAACAAGGGTCGTGGAGAGCTCGCCCCAGCACTGCGAGGAACGGCATGTCTCGGTGTTCCAAAGAACTTCCTGGCTCTCTCTTCCCCGAGTCCTCGAGGCTCCAACCCCACGAAGGCTGCGAGAGGCCGCTGGAAACCTGGCCAGACAGGAGGGCGGGTGGGTTCCTGGACCCACCAGGTTGACCAGGTTGACCGGTCGTTCTGGGGTTAGGTGTTCCAGGAACCAGCAACGGGCCGGTTCCAAGGGTCTTTGGCTTCGACATTGACACACCTCTGTCTGGGTCTTGGCCATGAAAGTGAGAGCCTTCACACAAGGGGCAGTAGCTTGGAGCGGTGGGAGTGGAAAAACCAAAACAGTCCCGGTGTCTTTGTTGGAGCCGCCCCTCGGTGCCGACCTGGGTCACAGCGACCGAGTCAAGCAACTCCCAGTTGAGCTCAACGAACCACCCGTCTCGGGTCGGGCACCGGCGGGTGGCGGAGACATGGGCCACCCACCGCCCCACCCCCACCGCTGGCCGAGCGAAACGGAGCCGGGCCGCAGGCACAAAGCAAGACCCACCTGGGACAGGTCCGCCGCTGGAGTGGGGAAGACTGCACAGAGTGCATTACAGGACTAGAGGCCCCCTTTCGCAACGTCCCTTTTCTCTCGGAGCTGCCCGAGTTTGAGACGGACCCCGCCACATCTAAAGCCTTCATTTACTGATTACTGAGAAACGTTCCACGAACTTCTTTCATCAAGAATTGCTGGTCAATCAGGGGGCCCTTCGCACTGGACTAACTCAAGTGAAAAGGGAACCTCTGACTTCCGATGTTTGCACCGAGACAACACAACCCAAGAATCAAGTGCTAACAGGTGACCACATCCACCCACCGTCGTCGATGCAATGGTCTAGAAGAGATGATCACAAGAGCGCAAAGCGGACCAGGGAGGACTGGAACCTCCAAACTCATGTGCTGACTTCGCCAGAGTGGCAAAGAGAGACGACGTCTCCTCCAGTGGGCAGCTGGTCCTCTGACCCACTGGGATGAACTGTGCACTGGCCTATGCATTGAAGGATCGTTGTCTTCAGTCGATATTTTCCCACTCCTAAATGTAGGAGGTGTATAGACTACGGGAACCTTAGCCTTAGACAGACAAGGCTCCGGTCTCCGCTCTTCGGCCGCCCTTCGGCCCAGGCACCGTGCCCAGCAGCCCCAGGGCGGCCGCCACCTTCAGCCGCAGCGCCGCCGAGGAGATCAGCACGGGTCGCCCGGTGAGGCTCGAGGACGGCCCTGGAGAGGGCGCGGGTCGCGACGGGCAGGGGACTAGGGGATCGCCTCGGCGGCTGAAGCACTGATCGTTAGGTGAAGAGTCTCTACTCAAAAGGAACAACGAAGAGGCTTACTGTCAGCAATGTTGGCTGAACGTTGCAAAGTGGTGATTCTGCATCAAGCCAACTTGGCCGATGTAAACTCAGGATCTTCTAGCTTCATGACCTTGGCTACTTCTACCCCGGGTTCCCCGACCCTTGCCTCAGTCTTCCGCGCCGAAACACACACTCAGTTTGCCCACAATATTCAGGGAAGTTTCCAACTGCAATCTACACATGATTTCGCGTGGAACGTGGTGAACACAAGGAACATTACCCAGCAAATGGTGTTTTTCACCAACAATGTATCACTAGAGTCACTCGCATCTTCCCTCGCCTTCCTCGGATTGCTCCAAGAGATCTTCCTGCTCCTCAGCTCAACTACCGCGGCTGGATGCACAGATTCTCCCCAGAAACGAGGAACCAATTGCACCAGTCCCATGCCATGTTGTTGGAACCACCCGACTCGCCGAACAACCCCAAGGCAACGAGCCACCGTCAGTGCTAGGCGTTCGGGATGAAAAACGCACCACTCTGGTACCACGAAAAACTCGGTGGTCTTCGCAGCTCCCGGGAACTTTCTTGAAAAGTCAACAAGTCATAGGGGTTGTCTCTGCCATCCTGTGCAGTCGGAAAAAAGAAACACAAAACAACATGAAAAACGTCAAAGGAGTCCGAAGCCATGTGCTGGAAGAACCCAAAGAAACGTCATTCTTGAAAATGTCTTCGAACCAGGAAGCCACAGGCCACAGGAAAGGAAGAATACTCTCCAATAGACCATCTCCCTCATTGAACATGCCCAAGGTAAAAGGAATCAAATCACTAACTCACAACCCTGCCTTCAAGTTCAGATGAAAATCCTGCGAGGTCAAATCTCTAATCATAATAATCAATGCATCTGCCCTTAAGGCTTGGATCCCTCTTCCCTGCGGTGTCAAGGCGCCTGGGCTTTCTCCACGGACCGGCCCACGTCCATTGCAGCAAGAGAACGAGTGCTGTTGGAAGATCCGCCAAACACCAGACCAGGGAAGCCTTTTCCACAACCAAAATCACCACGAAAACTCGATCCTTAGGCTTTGGGGTGCCCACGTCGGTCCCTTGCTGGGCGGAACCCTCGAGCCCAAAAGCACCAGCGGCCTCCATGACAAACCCATCCTCCATGCAGCATTGCACCCGCAGAAGCGCATTCATCATCAAGCCTTAATCTTCTTCGTCTTCTTCAACATCTTGATTCATATTCATCTTCTTCTTCTTCTTCATCTTCTTCTTCTTCTTCTTCTTCTTCTTCTCCGTCATCGTCATCGTCATCATCCGCTTTCCCACTTCCAGGATTCCTTCCGCCTTCCACCAATTCCAGCGCCTCTTGAACCCAATCAGGGTCGCTGTTGGTCAACCGTGTGCGCCCGGAAAGCAACGCCCTCAGCCACCCAGGACCGGCGACGAGGCCGAAGTTGGGACAATGACCGGCACGGATGGCTTCCAACCACCATTAATTTAAAAGCATGAATCCCAGAGAACCATGGTCTTACTAAAGATGTTACACAACATCTTACCACGTCAACCCTTTTTGAAATGGCCTTAGAAGGCCAAGGAAGGGGGGCCTTTTCGCAGTGCTTCTTTTCAAAAACCGCTCGGTGTGAAGCAAGCACCTCCAGCTCCAAGCACTCCGGCAAGTCCTACGACGTCCGAATCCGTTCGGATTTGCCGGGGGAACCACCTGGGACGGACCCGGGTGGGGGGTGGACCAGGACCGCGAACGGCCGAGAACGACTGCCCCGCAGAACTGGAGCCCCGGACAGGACCACCGCCAAGGGCATGGCACTCCACCAGGCCATCTGCGGGTGAGGCGGGGCGGCCAGGCCACGTGGCCCGAGCTGTTGGAGCGTGAAGACCGGTGAGTGAACTACAGCAAAGTAAAGCGATGGTGTAGACTTCATTCCACCTGGACACCAGTAGAACGATGGAGAGAAGTTGGACCGGGTCCAGGAGGTCCACACCACTGGACTTTGGGCCTTGTAAGGGAAGAACTTCAGGCTTGTCCTTTTCTTCGAATCTTCCCATGACCGACCGCAGCCAAAGACCGACCAAAGACCGCCTCCGCAGCCTTTTGGATGAACGACTCCGGTTTTACAGCAAGTTTGCAACTTTCAGAGAAACGTCGCAAAGCACGAGCTGCGTGGCAAAGCTTTGCGCCTCGCAAGCAGGAGTGAGGTTTTACCAACTCCGCTGCGGGAACAGCCAGGGCGGGTCACAGGACTCGTGTCCTTGGGCAGCGGCCTGGGGCCCCGCTCGACTGTCCGAAGGCAAGCCACAACAAGCTACTTGGCTGCTTAACTACGATAAATCAAAATAGCTAGCTCAAAAATGGGCAACTAGTGCCCCAAGGAAAATAAGAAGGCTACCAACGCCCTGCACGTTGGCACTGCTCATGGTATCCGCACAGGTCATCGCCAGGATGTCTGCTGCGTTGAGAACCTTGGAATCCAGTTCTCTACCCGAATGGATCAAAACAAAACACTCAACGACGTTCCATCTTTTGTGGAAACTCGCTTCTGGCGGATCCACCGTCCGCTTCTGCGTAGAAAGTCCAGTCCACCGTCCGAACCCACGCTCCGTCGAAGGAGCTGTGATGTTCTGACGTTGAAAGTCAGCAATGGCCTCTGCTTCGTTGGCATAGCTGGTGGGAGTTCCCCAGATTCCAGCCGATGCATCCATGATGATGTTGGCCTTGGCAGTGCCAAGTTGGCCCAAAACCATACCATGTGGTCCTTTGGGCAGTTGCACCGACCTCTTGTTCATGTCTCCCCTCATGGCAGGCCATCATCTGGTCCTTAGCCTGTGGCTCATGGCCTCATGGCATTGGCATCACCCTACTCCGTGGCAGGTGGAGCTGGCTCCGCACGTCTATTCCGGTCACTGAACCAGTGGTCACCAGGGTGGCTTTGACCCGAAGAACCCGCCCGATTGGCACCCCCCCCCCCCCCTTACCTGGTAGCCCAGCAAGTTCGCCGCATCCTCCACGGTCCAGCGCACACAGTGCGTGGTGGCGATGCCGGCGGCATAGATCTCAGTGACCCCGGCATCCTGTTGGCGTCGAGAATTTGCCACTTGTGTCTCTGGAACATCATGTTGATCTATGTGGCCCTCCAAGAAAAGAGCATCGACACCCGGTGTCCAAAGCTATGAAGCATCGTCCGAGAGCCACCGCGCTCGCACAGGCCCACTTGAACACCCGGCCTTCAGCGTCTTGTCCAAGGCGCTCTTGTAATTCCTCAGATCGGCTCGGTCCCAGCTCAGCCTCTTTGGTCCGGGTTCTGGTGAAGTCCCCAGAAGGACTGGCAGTGGAGCAAAAGAGACCTAAAGCTTAGGTTCCTTTCAAAATATATGCCTTTGGACCGTTCTACCCGCGGTCAGAAAAATGGACCGGTGAACCCAAAGATTTGCCATAAAAGCCTTCTTCCAAACAACACCAATTCTTCAACAAACATGTGGGGTATGCCATGGACCATTGGTAGGTCTCACCACCAAATGGTATCCCAATGGCCACCCCCAGCGAACGGCAGCATCGCTCCCACCTATCTTTTTGAATTGTCCAGTGGCCTACTGTTGGTTGAACAAAACATAGTGCGGTGCAACTAGCCTACGTGTCGGTGTCCTCCCTCCATCCTCAACCACAACTGACGCTCCCCGCTCTCTTTTGCCAAGTGATTTGGTTGGAATGGCCGGACTCCCGCAAGTATCTGCACAGAATCCAAGCTTCTTGGTATTGTCCATGAAGGCGCTGAACATCTCCACATAGCCTGAAGGGGGCAGTGGAAACCACATCGGAGGCCTTACCAGAATCCATTTCACCCAAGGGGCACAGGGTGTCCTAGGGTTTCCTAGGTGCTTTAACCGGTGCGAACCATGAACCGTCCAACCCGCCCGTGGCGGTCCGTTTCCCGGTCCCGCGCGTCCACCGGATCGGCGCGTGCCCTCTCAACTGGGGTGACTGCAGTCGGGCACTACAGTAGTGCTAAGAGTACTATATCATATAATAGCTAGCAATGTTCTACTATGTGTCAAAAAGAGCCCAACCCATGAGCGTGAATCACCGTGAATGCAGGATCAGAACAAACGCTACAAGCATTCAGGTCTACAACTTGTGCAATGGAGGATTGTTCACTGCAATGGAGTACTTTCTTTGGCACAACGATTGTCCTCACAGAAAGGTCCTTCATGTCAGAGCACTTGCTTGATCAAGAGTCATCCGCGCTCTTTTCTATCTGGGCTGGGTGTGCATTGCGATAGGCACTCAAAGACCTGTGGGTATTAGTGGAAAATCAAACTCTACTACACTACTTATTTCCGGTCTCACTCCCTGTTGCCTTTGAGAGCCCAGCCGGCCAGAAAGCCGGGCTCTGCCAAGCTACGATGACCCTTCTGCACGATGACATCACCCTCTTTCACCACCAATGAGCTTGCAATTGCCGAATCCCCATCCTGCAGGCAGTGATCCAGCCAAAGATCCATCGTCATCCCAAAACCTGAAACAAATCAGGGCGGTCTTGGTTTCTTAGCTCAAAGAAAAACGGCCAATTTGCCTCAATCCGAAGAAGCGACATCCACAACTTGCTGCGCCAACGTCTGGGCTCTCCTTCAACTGACATGTCCCCGAAAGACATCCCAAAGTCACTTTGAACTCGCCCACTTGACCCGAAAACCTCTCTAGGGGATCGCCCCTGGACGGGAAAAAAAGAACGGTCTGTGCTGCCCGAGTGGCATTGGTCAGGGGTGTCACGGCAAGTGGTGCATGCCGGATTCCCATTGATCATGGGGTTCGTGACCTGGGCGCGCAGCAGAGAGCGCGCACCGGCTCTTCTCCGGCACCGGCGCTAGAGCGAACCGGTGGGAAACCCCGGAACCCGGCTCCAGGCGGCCCTAGGTGGAAGCTCAGAAGGTTTTGCGGGAAGAAAACCCAGGGTGCAAAGAGATGGCAGAGATCGTAAAACATATCTGCTGTGCACTGTGATGTGTTCTCTTCTCTTGTAATGACCCCTGCAGACTCAATAGACCATGAGACAGAGGTTCCCAACCAAAGCTCGCAACGCTGTGAAAGCGCATGCAAACAGAACCAATCCTATACCTCAGCCATCCGCTGTCTGACAGTACCAATCGACTCCATCCGCATCTTCCATCCATGACGCCCACCCAAGGAGACTCTCATCGAGCGTCATTGTTGTAGAAACTCTCATCAGGGCAATACTCGAAGATACCATTGCAGGTCACCTCGGAGCGGTTCACGTAGGCCAGGGGGCAGCAGGCTTCATCCATTCCTCGGTCGAGGAAAGTTGGAGAAAGTCTTAGAGTGCCCCAAGAAAACAAGAGAAAAATCTCTTCCGACAAGAGTCTTTTCCTTATTGGGGCAGTTTTCTAAATAGGTACTCGGGATTTTCACGAATCCCTTTTCATCATGATCATGCGGATTGAACGCCGTTTCTCATCACTGTTGGGGACCTCAAAAGAGGTCTTTCTTCTCAAGATCTGCCCACTGCGGACAACCCCGACCACCACCCATGGCATCCGTCCGGCGTTCCGCCGCGAGTCCGCCGTTCACAATGCATTTCATCGACATCGCGCCGCGCCAGGAGTTGCTCTTCTGCGCGTTGGGAGTTTCCTGTGGCATGCCGTGCGCGGTGCCAAAGGAGATGTGTCCGGCCGGGTGATAATCTTGAGACAAGACCACCAGGTCAAAGAGGCAATCCTGGAGCGCGAGGGATTGCTGCTGACAGTTGTTCGTATGACCACTGAACAGTTGATCGTTTGGCCGTTGCCGGTCGCTCGGCGGGAAGGATTCTGTGACTCACTGGGCAAAGTTTCTTGGGATTTCCCGTCCTTCTCATTGCGAATCTGGTTGATCTTGGGGATAATGTGCGAAGCGACCACCGGCAAGCTGCCGTTCTCCAAGAAGCATTCCTGCTCTCCAAGGTCACATCCGAAAACCAAAGAAGTAAAAGGCCCCTGGAACCTCTATAGATCCGTGCTTTTGGCAGTTCCATGTTCGGCTGCACAGGATATACAGGATCACGCTTGATTGGTGGAGCCCTGTGAAGGAAGGAAGCTGTTCTCAGGACATAGGGAGTTTCAAATATATAATGTATAGGTCTTCCGCCCTCTGTTGCGTCCCTCCATTCCCTGCTGTCCCGTTCTACTCTTCATTCCTCCTCCCTTCACAAACAATAGCGGAACCCATAGGAAATTAGTCATCGAAACTGTTGTTTAATGAAATGAAATGGCAAAATGCTGTGAATTACTGAAATACCTTGCAAGGGAAGTGCTGCATACTTCCTTCCTCCCTCCTTCCTTCCTGTTTTCCCTGGCCCCTCATTCCTCTGCTGACACACCTCCTTGATTTTAGTGAGGGCACAACCCTTTTCCCTACAAACCCATGAAACTGGACCCCTCTGAAGGTCCTCTTTTGACCGTAACCCTCGAGTAGCAGAGCAAGGCTTGGATATTCTAAAAACTGGATCAACAACAGTGATGCCAATTGTCCATTGTTTCATGCCGACCTTCGACCAAGTCAAAAGAAACAAATCCTGCAAAAAAGGAACGTTGTAAAACTGTATGGCTGAACTATATATATATAGGCACATGGTACATATGTTAGATGACTTTCTGCAAGAAGACGTCAAAAGCCAAATAGAAACAGGGTTTCCATGTCTTTTTGAGTCCTGTGTGTCCACAATGATCAAGGCCTTTTTCGCCAGTGACAGGCTCACAAGAGAGGCTGCCAAGACCTTCAAAGCCATGTTCACTCTGGATCAAAGTATAATACCAGCAGTAGCCTTCAGAAGGGAGCCGAAACAGCTGACAGTTCTGACAGTTCACTTCACAGCTTCCGATTGAACTGTCCTAACTTCTGCAGCCAGATCGATGCTTCCGGGCCATCCTGCGGATTGGGCCTGGCAGCCTGGCTTCATCTATCCCCCACCCCCAGGGCCCGGTCGCTCAGCCGGCGCCTCATAGCAGCGCAGCGCGAGGCCAATAGCCTCGAGGTGACTCCACGTTTCGACCCGCTGCGGTCAACCCGCTGCCGTTGTGCTTCAATCGCTGTGACATGCCTGAATCTGTTCACCCCACCAATCCTCCAGCACCGGCTTCTGCTCCCAAACCCGCAGTCCTTATGCTCAGGACTTGCAGTCCTTAACCCTCCATGCCTATTCCACACACCAAGCTAACTGCCTTTAACCCGCTTTCGCCACCCGAAACCCGAAAGAAATAGACAAAGAAAACGAAGAACCACCCAACCCACTCGACCTCCCACTTCCCCGACTCAGCTCGCGACCGCGAGGGGCACGGGATTGAAAACCCAGACCGAGGCCTGGGGCTCTCCGAGACCGGGGCGAGGAGACCCCGGAGGGACGCCAGTGGTTTTCGGTGTCAAAGCAGGCCGGAAGGAGGCCCCTGAGGGGACCAATGGATTTTGGGAGAAGACCTCCCAAGTCATTCCCCGTCATGGGAGCGCGTGTGAAAAAGGCTCTGAACGAAATGACTGGGAGAGCCTCTGAGGTGCCCCGCCACCACCAAGCGCCACTTGCAGGTCGACATGGAGCCTCCAGGGGGTTCAAGGTTTGAGCAAATCAGACGAAAGCAACATCAGACACCTGCAATGATCCAAGTTCCCCCCATGGGTCCAAGCCTCGGTCCAGGCCACGGCACGCGGCCGCGCCCAACAGCGCAGCGCTGCCGGCCTCAACCGGGAGAGGGTTTTCCCCAAAAAAGGTCCAAAGGAGTGGCACATAGCAACCAAATACCAACATGTGTATATAGTTGAAGTGACACCTCCCCACCTTTCAGACATTGGATATACAGTATTGGTATTTGGTATTTGAGACCGTCACATGTGTATATCAGTGTTTTTTTGTATATCGAAGTGACACCCAACCCACCGTTCAGACCGAAAAAAATAAACATGCCAGGCACGCCGTAAGCAGCACAAGAGCGCCACCGATGCAAGTTTCTCCACATTGTTTTCGCAGGAGCAGCAAAAAGGGCCTCGAGAGGACCCTTTTGGAAGACAGAGTGGGGGGAGCAGGACCCCGGGAGAGAATCGGGTCCTCAGCGGCATCAGTGCTGATGCTAAATTGCTATTGAAAGGCTGGCTGATTGAAATCAACTTGGAACTTCTATTTTTTTCCAGCCATACCTCGCGCCGACCTGGTCCGGACGGGCTTATTGCAAGGCGTTGGCACAGCCAAAGAACGGTAATTAACAATCTCTGTTCAATGCGGCTGCATATATTCTTGCATCATCGGTGTTTTCATCGGTGTTTTCAACTTGGAACTGGAAGTATATAATCGTCCTGCAAATCAAAAATTGGAGAAAAAACATGGGCTGGCATGCGTAGGAAGTATGAAGTTCCAGGCCCAAGAATCTGTGACATAGTTTAAGCACAGTATCTACTACGCGTCCTAAAGAATTTTCACTGCAAAATGTAAGACGTGAACAGACAAAAACAAGCAAAAACCGGTTGGAAAGGAATCTTGAACCACCTTCACATCCTCCCACATTCATCCACTTTGCACATCCTTGACTCTGCAAAGGGGCTAAACACAACAACCCTCTTGGAGGCATCCTTTGCTTTCGCTCTCCCCAGGCTCCGGGCGCGAGAACTGTGCTACCGAAGATGGTGGCGGCCACCACGGTGTGCTTGAAGAGTCTCGCCTTGCGTTTGGCAGTGCGTTTTGTTCTTCACACGTGACCAAATTGGGAGAACTGTCCAGCTGAAAGGTTGTTTGTGTTTCCTCTCGATGTGAATAATTCGACTAGGACAATCGTTTTTTGTGCTGTAAAATCTACATCGAAACAAAACGCAAGTTCATTGCACGCTGAAAATATAGCAAGAAAACCATACAATGCAGCAACGAAACCTCAAGAAAGAGACAGCAATCATTGTAAGTCCCCAGCGCACAAAATCTTAACATGCCAAACAATCGGTGGAGCAGACTCAACAATGCTTGCAACAATGATTCCCATACCGAAACTACAACTTACAATCACCAAACTTTGCAGGTTCCGAGCTTCGGACACCCAACCAAGTCATGGACTACCTGGCAGGGTGTCACAACGGCATCCAACGCGCCACCAATGGGCACATGTTCACTTCACCCAGTTCAACCAGAAGCACCGCTCATGCTGTATTGAAACATCCCAATATGCTGCAAACCATCACGGCCTGGCCAAATGGTTTGAAATGACCATCCTCACAAGCACCGCTCGTATAAGGAGTTCATGTCTTGGAAAATGTCAGTACAATCAGTAGACACCTGAAAGTGATTGTTCACTGGATTACGTGGCAAGATTTCAAAAGGTTACGGCATGCGTTACTATTCTGATGAGACTCTTCATGCTGCCATGGTTTTGCTGCAACCATGAGCTTGGTATGGCATTGAAAACATACAGCACTTTGGCGTCGGTACAGTTCCACTTTTCGAACTAAAAATCTAGCATCGCAGCATCTTTCTCAATTAGCCCCACCAAACGCAAAACCATAGCGCCGTTGACAATTGAAAATGCTTTAATATATAATTTAGGCTGCTATAGAAAGCAAATCAAAATTGGGCCCCAATTCAAAAATCCAAATGTCATAGTGGCCGTGGCGCCATATCAATTTCCACCGCCAGACACACACACTTATAGAATTTCGTACTGACTTGAAAGCGGTTGCCACACGCCAACCTGGGTTTCCAAATCCTGAAAAGTTCAAGAAAACCCTGTGGAGCCTGGGGGGTCTTCAAAAGGAAAAGGGGACCAAAGGCTCAAGTCGAAATCGAACCGACAAATGACGGCGTGGCGTGCACATCTGCAGAACTCACTAGGACTTTACCGGAAAAGTGGAATAAAAGCTTGTAAACGCCACAACCAAGCAGGTACGTCCACAAGGCGTCCCTTCCGGATATCAGCCACACTTGCAGCCCTCTTCGTTGGGCAATCAGCTGCAATGTGGGATTGCCCCCTGCTAAAAAATAAAAAGTCAATCAGCACAATCCGAGTGGATCCTAGTGACTTCAAGGGGCACACACACACACGCCCCCCCGACGGGGGGCCGAAAATATTGAGGTCAGGACGCAAGTGCATGTGTGCGCGCGCGCGGGAAAGACAAAAGAATGAAGACATGACAAGAGGACCGGACAGGACAAAGGTGTAGGTGGATGAAAGAGGAAACAAGTGCACAGGGACAAGCAATGAAACCCACCTCATTATAAAGACCTGGGCGACCTAAAACCTGGGTTAAAGTACATGTAGTTGCGCACGTACACGCTGAGGCCGGGACCAATGCGCACGCAAACGGAAGAAAGGATGAGATGAAAGACATGAAGACAGGAGGACGCGAAAGAAAAGAGGAGAACAGATGTGTGTGAAGGGGAAAAAGGATGAGAGGGGAAACCAAATGAAGGGGACAGAAACCAATGAAACCAAACCTTATTAAAAACACCTAGGAAAACCTCGCCTCGTTTATGTGTATACGCTGTGCGTGCGCCTGAGTTTTCGGCAGGTTCTAACTGGAACCTCCAAAATACTTTGGCCGCTGTGGTCACCTTGTGCCCTGCCAAAGTGGTTGGCTGCTTAGACCGCTGCGGTCACGTAAAGGCATGAGCCAGCTTGGAATCAATACTTCAGCAAGTCTTGGCAAATAACTTCGGCGTAAGCCTCCCGCTATCCCCCTCTCCCTCTCCTCCCCCTCTCCTCCCCCTCTCCTCCCTCTTCTCCCCCTCTTCTCCCCCTCTTCTCCCCCTCTTCTCCCCC